TTCAGGCTCTAATTTGACTAATGACTTATCATTGTTTTCATCTGAATATTTCAATTTTCAATTATTTAAATTCCGATATTTAAATTCCAAATTTAAGAATTTTATATAAACCGTATAATAGTCTTGGATACTTATGAAACGGAATACTATATAGGTCCGATAAAGGTATGTTAACATACTGGCTCTTTCTTGAATCAAATACGAAACTGAATTGCTCGGCAAATTAAAAATTACTCTACTTATTTGCTTTTACTTTTTTAAAATCTAAATAATTACAAGTGACAGACCCATTCCAATTCAACGTTCTAAGTAACGAAGTGTGTACATATGTAAGAGTATATAGTCCTCATTTCTTATTATAGCCAGAAAGACTGGTAACGACTATTTATTTGTTTATACAGAAGTTAAACGGATTGAGCTGACTCAGAAATATCGAACATTCTTAGCGGCGAATTTATATTTCACTCTCCATCCAAAGATGTGTCAAATAGCTTCACTTTTGAAATCAAAAATTTTTAATTTGTACTTTATTAAACATAAACTTAACCTTATATGTTGATCCAAAAGTAACGACGAATTAAATAAATGTTCAAGGAACTATGGATTTTTTAAAACAAAGTTCTTGTTAATTTGTAGTACAATTATCCTTGTGGCGCGCTGTACAGAGATTTTAATGCTAACAAGAGCATTTAATATGCGCTTTGAGAAATAACAAAAACGTGCCCCAGTCTCTGATAAAAGCTGTTTAAAATGTGCGCAGAGGAAAACACACATGCGAGCGTACCTAGGCACACCTACACACACGCACACACACATCAACATGCGCTGTAGCTAAACTTTTGGTCAAAAAGCAAGCCACCGCCCACTCTAAACAACAGTAGTAACAACAACAAAAGGTAACGTGAACTGCAATGGCTGGATGGTGGCGGAGGAGGGGATGTCTGGTTGGATGCTAGCTGGCCTGGTCCGCAGGCAGCATAATTAATTGCGGTAATTAGTGTGTTGGCAACAAACGGCAAACACAAGCACACAAAAAACAAGCTCGCCAGCAACAAAAACAATGAAAGCAACATCAAGGATAACCGGTAACAGAATTTCAATGCAACGTGCGCGCATTTACTTTAGAGAAGATTTGTGGGCAACTTCTCTGGCATATTAGTTCAGAGCAACTTTTATTTACGACTTTGTGGACTGCCTGAGTGCCCACGCCCACACCCGCGCTCACGCCCATGCCCACGTGGCCCGTCGGCCTGTTGAAAGGCCGTCGGCGCAATTTGTGCTAATTTAGTTTGTTCTTTCATTTCGTGTAGCATAGTCTTCTGCGTATTGCGTGGAGAGTCATTAGAAAGCGCAAAATGATTTTATTGCTAAACAAACAGTAGCAAGCTGGGTGAGACAAATACATCGCATTCTTCTCAAGCAAATCTCTGCAGTTAAGCCACGGAAAAGAGCACAGCTGAGCAAAAAGAGGACCGCGAGATGGGAAGCAAGAAGTGCGGCAAGAACTTTAAGCAGCTGTCGCCGCCGTTGCCGCTGCAGCTGCGGTGTTCCCTTCATATTGACTTCAGCATGCTGTCTGCTGTTTACCCGCCGGCTGTTGCTTCACAGGCAATCGCCAGGACTTCTTGCTGTTCGCTTTAATTGGTCACTTGGCGCGCACAAAAACAATTTAATTTTCGCAATTTTCTTATTATCTCGATTTTACACTCGAGCTTCTTCTCATCTCCTCTCACACACAATGGCAGTCTGGGCGGCATTGGCATGGATATTAACCGTGATGGCGTTAGTCAGTCAGACAGCCAAACAGTCAAGCATTCAGTCAGTCAGTATCAGAGTCCGACAGTACTATATGTCAGTTGGAAGACGGGCGCGAGGACGCTTTGCTCAAATTGCTATCCGCTTATATAATTAAGCGCAGCATACTTACGGGCGCGCTGTTTTTAAGCAGAATTGGCAAGGGGTAGGAGACGGTATGGAAGTGGGCGTCTGTTGTGTGTTATTACTGCCGCACTCATTAAATCTTTTGAGTGTAATTAAAAAAAATGACAGTTTAATGTTTTACAAATAGTCACCGCACATTTATTGACATTGTCCGGGCAGGCAAGCTCCATAAAAATTACATTTTGAAGTTAAAAACGAAAATCGGCAAACGGAAAACTAAAGAGAATGGGCTTTCAATAACTGTTGAGGCTCGTCTGCTAGTTGGTGCAGAAAATTATTTACTACTACAGACATCTAAACTAAAGAATGATTTGTTATAAATTAGTATATATTATGAAAAATTGTTATTATTATATTTTGTGAGTTACCGGTGCCAAACTCTATTTGGATCAAACAAGATTTTAATTATACATATAATTTTTTAGTTGAATCAATTTACATACATAGATGAATATTATTGAATTATACATACATACATGTACATTTATTCCTAAATATATAAAAAGAAGCTGGAAAGCAATGAAGAGACGTAAATGAAATATACTATATGTGCTTGCAATAAAATGAAGAAACCATTACTATCATGAAATCTCTATTCACTGAAAATACGCAATTTTAAAAATGTCCTTGTTGATTTAAATATTTTTGTACCGCAGAGTTTTGAACATGTATAAATGTATTTGAATAATATATAATTTTCGTAGAGTAAGAAACTGTGACTCCACCTTTGTCTGGACTCACCTTTTACAATATACCTATTACAGTCTCTTGGTTAATCCTGTTCTGAAAAGGCTGATATTGTTGCTTTAACTGTTCTTATTAAATATTGTGGCCGCATGGAATTTATTCAGCACAATCCTTTCAAACTACAGTACGCGATTGTCATATTTTTCCTTGTTTGCAATATTTGAGGCCTTTGTTACCCGTGTCCGCCTTTTGTGCGTCTTTTTTTTTTCGTTGATTGTAATTGCAAAAACGAGAGCTAATACTATTTCGCATAAGTAAAGCCTGCATTCTTGCAACCGGTGGCATTTGGAATGGCGGAGTCCACTATCGTATTTCATTAATGTTCCAAAAACTGCGCGACTGACGAGTTGTGCGTTGTCATTTGCACTGAAAACAAATTTACAAAATGTGCGGGCTCCAATAGGTCGGTCCATGTCTCCATGATCTAAGCGTAGCAATGGCCATCACATTTGATCTCCGGCATCGACAGCTGCATATACGGATACGCACAAATAGAAATTGTTGGCAGCCCAGAAATATTTAACGTGCGGTTTGGCAATAAAAGTCACTCGGCCTCGTTGCAATATGGCGGCTGTTTGTCGTTCATCTGATTTATGTGTCTGTCAGCACCACAGTTTGAAGGGTGCAACCAGCGGCGCCAACACCGGTTCCCAGCAGAGAAGTCATGTGGCAGGGGCCGTGGCTGCGTCATTCGAAAGTCAGCAGTCGACTGTTGGCAGTTGCAGTTGGTTTTGAGCCGCAGTTGAGACACGGATATAGTGACGTGGCTGATTGACAAACCGCTGTTTGCCAAAATGAACAGTTTGGCATGAGGTCCGAGGGCTGTGGTGCTGTGGCTACTGCCGTTGAGTTTCCTGGTTGCAAATGCTGGTCCTGTCAAGCCGCCGAATGAATATTGCTTTCGCATCGCAGGAGGCCGCTGCCGATTGCAATAGCGTTATAAAAAGGAAGAAAAGAAAATAGTGAGCAGTAAACTTCACGTTAGTGAAAATAAACACGCACAAAGTTATTCCCATATTTGCCCTTGTGATATACACAAATGTATATATGTGCTTCAAAATATATTTAATGTATCCTGTCTTCTTTAAAATCGCTTAAGTCAGAAGCGATATGGAAAGATATACCATTTGCTTTTTCGATTACCTGTGACTGTGTGACAGTTTTCCGCTCACCTTAGTCTTTTTAATCTTGGCTTATTGTCGTTTCTTCTTACCTGAGTATAGGCGTTTTTACCCATCTACCTAACCAAGCTGTGCAGCTGTGTTCAGTACTTTATACATATACATAAATAACATTTAACGATTATGTGTCAGTTCTTGCTGCTGTTGTTTTATTGATTTGCATTGCAACTACTTGCATACTATTCGATTTCCTTTTTATTCACATATTTGACTTACATAAATTTGTGCCATCAGCATGGTTAATACGAGATTAACGGCAAATTTCTCAGCTCGGTTTTGAACATGGACATATTGCTTGACAACTTGTTTAATTGAAATCACGGTAACGATTTAAAAACTTGAACGCATCTGATAGTTGTTATTTCAGTGACGCCACCTATCACTGAAAACAGCTGGTCGCAGAGATGCCAGACGCGTTGAGAATATCACCGCGTCTTTTGATCGAATCCAGTTATCCAGCTGCAGCTTTCAAGACGTGTATAGCTTTTTAAGGTAAATTCTACGCGGTATTCCAGCATAAAAATTTGTATCCCAGTGAGGAGTAGAGACTCATTACAACGCTTGGGTATTTCTTGTCTTTAGTTTTGGCAGAATAACAATAATTAAGAATGCGATTATCTCGTAGATCGATTGTGCTATTGTTTATGGCGAGTTGTTGCATGAGTGTTCTCAATTTGATTGCAATTTGCAACATTATACATACATACATATATATGTATGTATGTATGTGTATTTAGAATGATGGGAAATAAAATGAAGACGTGTAAGTACATACTTTATTCAGCCGTAGGTCACCTGTACTTTCCCGTTTTTAAAAACATGTGGCTTTTTAATACACTGCTCTGATCTAAATAAAACCTTGCGTTATCATTGGGTATTACAACAACACGTGGAATTTGATATCTCTATTAAAAAGTTCACTCTACATAGGCGTTTATTTTAAAAGTTTTTGTGGCTTCGATATGTTATGTCCTTTTTAGTTCAAGTTAAACTATATGCATACATATGTATGTATAGTGAAGCATATATGTACATACATACATACATACATACATATGTACATAATCGACATTCAATCGATGAATATGCCACGCATTCTTATAGCAACACGAAAATTTGAAAGTGCTAAAATTCTTGCGCACATATACAATTTTATTTTCTTATTATGTAACAATGCCCAGTATCAATTTCTTTTCCCCGGATGCCTGACTTTAAGCCCAATAGTTGGGCTATTCCTCCAGTGATTCGCCTTTTTGGACCGCATCTTTAATTTTCTTGTATGCTCCAAAGCAGATTTTTTTCTATTGCTTGCTAGTGTATCCTCATTAAAACTCGACGCATTTCCTTCGCTACTTAAATCAGAATCCGAGACGGATTTATAATAAAATCTACAATCTGGGTACCTATCATCTTTATCCGATAATACTACTTGGCTGATGCTCAGGTTTGGCTTCCACATTGATATTGTTTCTACTGATATAAAGTTTGTGGAATTTTCTTCCGTTAAAGGTGACAGCATTCTTATATTTTCTATGGACATGCCTAAAATGGTAGTTGCGCACTCTTCGCCATATAGACGAGCTGTTTTCATGACTTCGTCCTCCTCTTGGCCACCACATTGCCTTTCATTACAAACGAGCTCGAAATTGATTCCGAATGCGCAATCACGTGGCTTTAAAGTGTTACGCTTATCAATGACGCAGAAGGTGAGAATTTCTTTAAAAAGATCCAATTTAATTGCCTCCTCGATGGCCGCATCACTGACCAGCACGCAGCCCAATACACAGCCCGTCTTAAGCTCCCTCACATTGATATGATATAGATTGTCTGCCCGGAGAAGCATTGTTAAAACAATCTCGCAGAAGTGCCGCTTTCCGATGAGCTTGAGCACCTCACAGTGCAGATTGGAATTTTGCAGGATCAACTGTTTATCACGGCAGAATTGGCAAGTGCTTGACTTTTTCTGCTCCACTTTTTTTGGCATGGGTTTTGGTTTTTCATTTGGTATCATTCCGCATGGACCTTGGCAACAATCGGCTTTTAACTCACGGTTTTCTAAATTATTAAATTGCTCTTTGAGCTTTTCAATAACGCACTGCAGCTGCTTCACTTGTTCGGATACCTCGCGCAGTTGTTGCGACTGCTGATCTTGGCCCTCTAACTTCTTTTGAAGTTCACATAGTTGCCGGGAAATCTTTGGTATTAAGGAGCAGTTGTCGCATTGATTCGTCGGTTGAGCTTGGGACCCTATCGACTGACGATTTTTAGTTTCTGCTGGTTTTTGCGCATTAGACTGCTCTTTGTTAGGTTGCCCAATCCTCAATGCTTGTTTCCTTGGTTCCGGCTCATTGCGCTTTCTAGCAGCATTTGGAGAGGCTGTTGATTTTTTTTCATTACCTCCGCTTTTAGGCATCTCTGAAGGTACGGTAATGACGGGTCTCTTGTATATACATTGGCATTGGGTTTTACTTTGTTTCTTCTCTTGTTTTTGCTTTGGGGGCTGTCGTACTTTTGCTCCTCTGACGCTTCTTTGGCTCTCTGAATTTTTTGGGGTCCCTGAACTGTTTTGGCAATTGGATGACATTGACATTTCCTCTGTACTAGTCTGAACGAAAGATACGCAGCTGTCCCTGCTTTTGACCTGATTGCAATAACTAATTCGACCCTGGCTGCAGCTGCATGAGCGCTTCCCAGCAGGTAGGCGAATGTTCGGCAACTTATTGAGAGGGTTGCTTTTGTACGGTTGGGTTGTCAATGACTGCCTATTCACAGACCTGCTCTGTCCTAGTGCCTGTTGATCCGCGAAACCAAGCGCTTTTACATATCTTTCATAGGTTCGGGCAGCATCTGCAAATAAAAGGGTCTGTAACTCGTATGCAACAGGTCAAGAAGGATCGTATTGTCACCTATATAAGATCGTGTAAGACGCAATTAAACTTAGTTTACAATTGGACACCACAACGTAATGAACAAAATGGTGAGTAGCTGATTTTTGGGATGATCGCTTATCTAATTATCTTTTATCTCACACAGTTAAGTCGCCGAGAGCGCCTGGAATTAGGCCTAGGCATTTTGCCCTATAATCCCAAAGCAATTCAGCTTTCAGCTGCTCAAGACCAAGTGGAAACTATTATAGCACGCTTGAGTGCAGACACAGGGTCCTTTGAAGAGACCGAAAGCGACGAAGATAAAGCACGAGAAAAGGAAGTGTCCAGTGACGCCGCAGTGTCTAGCAATCATTTCTGGAACAAGTTATGCGTAAATTCGACTAGTATGTCAGAGAAGTTGGTTACGCTGGCTCAGACCGCCGAAAAATTGGGACAAACTCGACGCAATTTGCAGGAAAAACTTCAAAAAGAGCAAGAAGGGAATGAAAGCGACGATGATGACGTCCTCATCATTGACGAGGGTGAGTCTGTGACAGACTTGTTTCGCTCACAGTTGATTAGGAACACCATAATGGCGATGAATGAGGCCCGCTTACGCCTACTTCAACGATGGGAGCGCACAAAGCGTTCGGCTCTCGATCTGCTTACCATTGAGATAGAGAAAGTGCAGGCTATGGATCTAATGGATGCGCAAACTTCCTCACATTTTGATTTGTTTTGTGATGGCACTGATGAGCACAACACTTCTACTCCGCGGACCATTGACAGCGATGAGGAGAACAACGACGAAGAAAATAACATTAAAGGCGAAAGCGACGACGATTACGTCCCTCCTGATAGTGGGAAACGGAAGCGCCAGCCACAGTCTACGTCCACGCCGAGAACTTCTACTCCACAAGTAAAGCGTCCGCGTTTCAGTTTTAGCCCTGACGAGAACTCGCCCATGGTCGTCATTGGGCCCAATGGTACACAAATACCACGCCGTGTTTTCAACACCTTGAACGTCAATCTAACCGGCCCGGCCATAACGCGTAAGCTTCTTTGCGAGATTTTTGACCGGGACACGCTTGCATACCACACACTGTCTGGGAAGCCATCGCCTGCGTTCAAAGATTGCGCGCGACCCAGTAAACAAAAACTGGATCCTCTGAAGGTAGACGATCTCGTATATCTCATGACGACTTATATGGACATGACTCCACGCGATGTGCGCACTGCCATAACCACTAAGTGCGCGGATGAGAATAAAATGCTACGTGCCCGGCTTTTGCGACAGCCGAGCAAACTTAACCAACTAAAGATTTAGAATACGGGGCATAGCCTATTTCCTGTTTGATTTGTGACACACGCCTTTGCAGCCAGTGCATCAACATTTGAATAAAGTGTTTCTGTTTTTTCTACTCCCAAACTTACCCATGGAATCGCTTTAGGTACTGGGTGCTGAGGGGACTACAATTTTTTGATTCTAGCCTATCACGTTCCAGGCTGCTCGAGACTGCCACACTCCCCATATGTGAGCGCTAGAGCTTTGTTTTGCCTGAAATCGATGCTAGCTGAAACAGAATATTTTTAAAATACAAATAATCTGACACATAACTCATGCATGTAATGTGAATGGAATGCTAAAGTTGGAAGATGTCGAGTGGCACTGACGCTTAAATACCCTGAACCCGCTCACAAAAAAAGAAAAAGGTGTGATTTTAATAAATTTCTTTTAAAATTAAAGAAACTCATAACAAAACTTGCTGGAATAGCAAACATTTGAATCAGTATTGTGCCTATGCGGGCCAATGTGCCAATACTTTACTATATGGGACGTAATTTCTTGGGTAACAACCTCTGCAATACGTTTGAAACGCTCTTCCAATACTATTTATACTTGCGTATTTATATTTGGTTGCTCTAGTTTCATCGTCCTCCCTGTAAAGCCCGTATTCTGTATCGGTAGACCGATTTATTTTGTAAAGATGCTATTTTACCGTATGTTGTCCAACGGGTCAATAAGCTCTTCAGCCTCTGCTGATACCAGCATACAAAATTATCTTCAGGAGGGCATAGGATAGGTCAGAAATCGGGTTTGTGTTTATGTTTTTGTATGAAATACATAGCTGAACCACAGAAGCAGATTCAACAACAGTTTTGGTAGAGCATAGGCAGACATTTCATTTATATATAATAAGCTATACTTGTATTCCTTAGAATTTAACTATCAAGCAGTAACCGGGTGTACTAATAGCGAAGAAGTAGGGGTATATTGAAAAAAAAAAAAAAACATTTATCGGACCTTAGGTCCATACTTAGTTATTCTAGCACTTCTACTTCCTGACATTATACAGAGGGGCAAGGCGGGCGTCTTGATCTTATATCTGTAATTAAGTCGATACGGGGTTCTTAAGAGTTGAACTCGCACGGCATTCCATTCTTGATTCTGCCTGTTAGAAATGTAAGACTTATGATATGTATAAAACCATAATTAATTAATATCAACCCAGTTTGAAGAAGGAAGTTTATATGTTTTATTATCAAATCTCATCTTGTAATGGTACAATCATAACTGATCCCTAATGTTGGCCATGTAGATGGCTTGTCTAAGGTTCCTTCCTCCACTTTTTGTTTGTTTTGTGGCACATATAGTATTAAATACATTCGCTCAATTTAGGCTATGTTGTCATACTTATTTATTGAACAAAAGCTTTATTTTCAGTTTAAATACATGTATAGGTATATTTTACGATTATTTATAATATTTATTACATACACACTCACACGAATCACACAAACCACAAAACGTATAATCATTGGCATTTTTTGGAAAATCCTTTCAGAAACACTTATATGTTGTTGTTATTTCAATCAATCGTTTTTTGTCTCTTGTTTTTTCAATTTCTTTAAAATGTATATTTCATTTTGACAAAACTCACGCATGTATGTGCACGCAAGGTTCGTCGTTTTGCTTTTATTTATATTAAAATATGTATTTATATTCAAACTTTAATTTGTTTTTGGAATGGCAAGTATTATCCTACTCTCAAATGCTTTTGTTAAGCTCTTTTATCATATTATGCACGAGTCTACTTTTTTCTACTGTTTTTATTAAAATATCAGATGGCTCAGCTTGTGTGCGATTGCAGAGGCTGAGGAGATTTCATGAATATTGTATATAATGCAAAAGTGGTTTGTATTTAGTTCACTATTGAGTTTTAAAAATTGTGTTCATTGGTAAATTTACTATAGATTGTCTGACTTTGGCTGATGGGAAGCTTGTTGAAGGAAAGTAAACACTACCTTAGAGCTTAAGTTAAGGTTGTACTTCCATGATTATTATTCGCTATAAATTATTATATTTTTTATTTGGCAACAGTCACATAGCAACAAAATGTGGCGGCCAAAGCCCTAATAGTTGACTGTAAAACGAAACCATACAATGGGCGTACGTTTTTCCCAGCGATTACTCACATTATCCGATTAATATCATTTTCTAAGCGCTATGAGGGTTTTTGAAAATGTGTCTATACTGCTAAGTGGGGTCGAACCCAAATGTATAATGTAAATATATGCATAAGTTATTTTAATAATATTTTTTTTTCCCAGATATCCGTATTTTTTATATATATATATATAAATTTTGGCTACAGTAAGAGAGCATAGCGCCTCGTCCATTGTAGTATCAGGCGGCGTTTCCAACGCATCGAAAAACCCAAAAGGCTTCAGGAGCTATGCTTCATTTTTTTCTGATTAATAGCTAATAGAAACGATGAACGCACTCACGTTTAAACATGGCAATACTAAAGACTTAGAACAGTAATAGTACAATAGATTTGTTATAATAATCGTAGGCAATCAGAGCAACATGACATTTAAGCAGCACTTAAAAAACTTAAGCCAAGCAAATCAGACAAAAATGGAATGTCATATTTTTGTAACTGGCTAGGGGTACGGGTAGAGGCACACCTTAAAGCTAAAACAGCATGGGGCAACAAGAGCAGCTCTTCACATCTAGTTGCCTCGTTGAAGCTGAGTATGCAACAAAAGCAGCGCAATCAATGCGCCGCACAGGCCATGAGGAGTTGTGTGTGTGGCTGCCGTGGAACGGGGTTCCAGAGAAAGCGTTTTGTAAGTCTGCACCTTGGTGAAATCACTGAATCCGGCCAGATTACGGGAGGCCGCACGCATCTTATAGACGGTGTCCGGCTCTAGGTTGGTGATGAGAAATGTCGCACCTGCCGGATAAGAGCACAGGAACGAGCACTGCAATTTTTATTTTCATACCACTTTCCTCACACTTACCGTCTTCAAAGGGAAAATCCTTGCGCTTGGCGTTTGTCCACTTTCCTGCATCCGATTTGAACTCAAATTCGGACATGTACTCAATGCGATAGCCATTCACTTCCATCACACCACGATTCTCCTGCGTTCGCTGCGCACCCACATCCACATCGAATGTATTCGAGTTGAAGCCCCGCAGCTGAAATGTGACCGGTGGGGGCGGCTTCTCGCCTTTGTCCAGTTTAATGGTGCGCTCGATGCTGCCGAGATGGTTGAAGGCGCGACAACGATAATTGTCGAACACGCTATGATCAAGCACATTAATTGTCAGGCGAGACCAATAGTTGTCCGAATCAATAGTATAGTATTTGTCATTGTGCAAACGCTTCTTGTTGCGGTGCCAGGTGAAGTTTGCTGGCGGCTCCGCCTGCGACTCGCACATAATTGAAGTCGTGCCGTTCACATAGGCATATTGAAGGCTTAATTGATGCTTGTATGTCCAGAGGGGCTTATCTGTAAGGAAAGTGTCAATTATCAATTAGGGATTTTAATACGAAAATTAGCTTTGGAGCTGCTAACGACACATTATAACAATGCTTGGGTAGTTATTTTTGTTAATAAATGAAATAAAATGTATTAAGTTATTGTACTTTAAAGTTGGTGCTTAGCGATAGTGTGCCTCGTGTATTTATGTCGATATATTTATCATTTCTTCATATCATTGTAAAACTGCCTGAAGGTAAAACATTTCCCATCGATCTTTTGCTTCAATTGACCCGTAATTCATCAATGTTTAATACATACTAGCACCTGTTATTTTCTGAAATATATACATACATATATAGAGTCAACAACATTTTTTGATAAATATATACTAGTTTCTTTAATTTATTTTGAATTCGAGCTGCCAGAGAACAATAATAATAATGAATATTAGTTTACTTCAAATAAAATTGTTTTCCATTTAAATGTTTTTTTGTTGGGCTCAACACAATTTTTGGGAGGCAAGTTTTTATCCTCAATGCATTTAGATTCAATTGGCGGTTTCTATAGTTGTGCATATGTACATATATATTTTGCATATTTTTGTAACATAATACTCGTAGTTTGATAGCTACTTGAACGAATAGCATTTCGTTCCTAAAAAAACACGCTTTATGTGTATTTGAATTGCTCACACCTGGCTTCCTACATGTCTTCAAAGAAGCCACTTTAGTTACAAATAAGTACATATTTATTGGCGCTTAAAAATGTGCTACGAAAAATTGAAAATCATGGCCCAGGCATGCATGCGTGTTATAAATCAATGTTGGCCATAGCTCTGGCTGCAGTAAAGTCATTAGCTACATATGTGACGGCATCTTTATTGCGCCCAGCCCCTCCCCTGTATGCGTACAAGTTCGGTCCGCCGAGTCACGCCACGGCAGCATCCATCAAAACTAACTCGCATCAAATGTGCAGGCCCTCATCGGAGCGTACTCGTTCGTATGTATGTATGTAATTTGAAAATTTGACGTGCTCAAAAACGGTTTGACGCTGAATGCGCTGCATACTAAAAACGCTTGAGCGAACAGAGATCTAAAAACCCACGCGGAGGGAAATATTTAACAAGCGTCGAAAATAAAATGTGGGGAAAAAATAGCTCAAGTAATTTCGCTGGCCAACCATCGCCTGAAAACAGGTAACAGCCAGCAGGCAGGTGGCAACTGGAAGCTGGCAACTGTTTTGTGTCCGAGTAGGTGAAAAATCATAAATCACACTCACGTTCGATTTTCATCAAAACTGTGCGCTCCTGCATATCCGAAGCAATCGAATTCACTTGATATGCACGACACGTGTACTCGCCGGTGTCGTTCTGTGTTACCCTGTTGATGAGCAAACCATCGGCCAGGATGCGAAACTTCGAGGCGCTTGCTAAAAAATAAAGGAAACAAAGGGAGAGTTGAAGAGGGGGAGATGGTGAGAAATCTTGTGGGCTGTGGGTGCCCTAGCTGTTTTTGTCTTTGGTCTTCCATGTATAATGCAAAGCTCATTATCGTCACACTCACTCTCCACACTAATGGGCTGTCCATTGAAATGCCAGGTGACATTCGGCTGCGGTTCACCTTTAACCTCACACAATATGGTCGCATTCTTGCCCTCCTTTACGGTCAAAATGGTGGAGTTCTCGGTGAACGTAATTTTCTCTGTGCCAAAGAAAACAATGCAATATTAATGAATGTTTGCTGCACGAGTATGCTGTTCGCGTCGTTGTCACCAGCATCGCTGCCGCTGCTGGCCTTGTTGCTGGCGATCTTTACTCTTTGCACTTACGATATACAATCAAATTGTACGATTTACTATGCAGCCCTCCTTCGGCAGCCTCGCAGGTCCAATTACCCTTGTCGGCCAGCGCAATGTGTGCAAAAACGATTTTCAATTGTTCTGTGAAAAGCAGAGTGGGCGAGAGAGACAAAGAGAGAGAGAGACAAAGAGAGAGAGAGAACGGGATAAATGGAACGTTGTAAAACAAAAGGCGAGCATAAAGAAAAAAATGTGTGTAGAAAGTTGCAATTAATTGTGTTTGTTGTGCTGCTGGCGCTCCCGCAGGTTGAAAGTTCACCCACCTGGCGAGGTCTGTTCTATATGTATGCGTCCTTTGTGCTCGCGGATAATTTCACCTTTTGGTGATTTCCAATGCAGCTGAACGTCAGGCGTTGGACTGCGGCACTGCACAATGAGCGATTCGTTTGTGTACCGCACCACTGTGTGCTCGGCGGGGCTTAGCGTCAAACTCTCATGGTGATTGGCCAAGACAGTAGCTGTTCGGATGGAAGAGAGACAAAAAGTGCACGTTTAGTTAATAGCTCGTTAATTGTAGTTGCTGCAAATTGGCAGCCCCAGCTGCAACTTAAATTGAAAACTTGACCCCAAGTTTGCCAACCGGCAGGGGCTGGGGCTGGGGCAGGGACACATGCAGAGGCAGCACCAATACCGAAGGAGCACCAGCTGGCAGCTAGCAGCTTGCAATTCCCATTTTCCAGTTAACATTTGCATAGCCAGGCAAGGCATTTTATTTCCTTAGCAACTCAAATACCACCATTGATAGCACACATACGCAGCAATAACGGCAACTGCACTTGCAACAGCAACTCTAGCATATACTTGTACACTCAATGGACTACCCGCCTCGCAAGCTCGCTGAGCCCTGCTGGCATCCGAAGGCCATATTAAAAGTTGTGCTGGCTATGCAGAAATGTAAAAAACAACTATAAATGGCAAGTAATATTATCAATACTTTAAACTTTCAACGGGGTGTTGGGGCATAAGTTGCAGCGCTTTCACTTTATCAAACAGTATACGTTAAAAGAATAAAGCAATACGTAATAATCATTCTTAATGGTGTTTCCGCTTTAAATGGCAATGGCTGTTGATTTTTTAATATTAAAATAGTTTCCTCAGCTTATTCGTCTGCAACTTATTTATACACTGTAGCCGATAAATTCGCCGGAAGGCATCAGACAAATGATTATTTCGCTTATTTCTCACTTCCAAAAAAATGAGATTATATTTTAATATTATAATTCAAAAATATAATATATTTGATCACAATAACACTTTAAATCAAATGTGCTCTGAATATACTTCTGAATATACCCCTAAAAGTTGCATACTATTTGTTAAGCTGTTTCTTTGGAATAAGGATAATATGGAGTTGAAATTTTCGGAAACTGTGACGCCATAAGCCAGACCAAATTAAAAGTAGCCTTTAACAGCATTGCGCAATATGTCTTTGATATTAAAAGAAGAGACTCCACAACGGTATACGCTAACTAATATTTTTAACCTGACCCTTAACTCTTGGATTAAACTTAGGAGACTAATTTGCATGCATAGAGCCATTACTCGAAAAGAGCAGAATTATCGGAATGACAAAATCGCATTTACCTCATCAAGAAGAACAAATCATATAGTATCGTAAGACATACTAGATTATCCTGTTCTGAAACACACTTTTTCATATTTTCTGTTCGTCTGTGGAACGAGTTACAAAGCTTAAAACCAATCAGCAGTGAAACGCATTTTAGAACTAGAATTCAAGCGCACTTTCAAGAGAATACCTAAATGAAAATGAAGTAAAAAGCACAATAGTAACAATAATACATTTCCATTGAGTAGGCAACAATTATATACTAGTTATAAAAATAATGAAAAGAACCAAGAATCTTTAAATTGATGTATAAATGAAATGTAACTAATAAAAATAGGTTAAGTAGAAAGAATAAAATTTTTTTAATAAATAAATAAATAGATAGATACAAATAATAAAAATAAACGCATTGCTTCTTATATAAAGCACTTATAATATTAACAGATTTCACCGCTCGCAGGTTATTCAAAAATATTTAAATATGGGGCGCTGTCATCGACTACTTTACGAGTAGAAGCGCTGAAACTTATGCGCCGGTCCCATGCATATCGTTTTGTTTGCAGCTGGCTCATTGAAATTTATTACAAAAAATTGCAATTTCATTTTACTCTTCCATATGATTCAATCTGAAAAAAGTTAGAACAGTGGCGTGGAGCCCCGTCGATGGCTGCCAATGATCTAACAGTCCGGGCACGCAAATTTCTTTGCATACTTTTTAATAAAGTTTGGCGTACGCTCAAACAAGCAGCAAAGAAACAAAGAACAGAACGCAGGCTGGCTGCACAGAGAGATGGCAAAAGCAATGAGCCTGCATTCGTCTACATGGACAAAACTTTTGCCTGCCAGTTTTGCCCGAAACAAGTTGAAACTTTATTGGCAACAAAGTAGTAACTGCGTTGAAAAGGCATGCAGATGCATATTCATAACCGAAACTTAAATGAAATACATATTTGTGAAATTGCTGTAAATTGTTTGACAATTACATATACTCGCAGCATAGCGATATGGCGAGGCGAGCCGAGCCGAAGAAAGCCAAATCGTTGGACTTTAATTCGATATGGCTGTGGTTCTACTTTATCTGAAACCTAAAGCTAACGACTACTGCCAACAACAGTTGCTCGGGCCAAAACAATACACAAGTCGGCATTAAATTTTATCGCAGACCTCCAACGTTGACAGTGAAATACACACACACACACACACACCTACACACACGTGTGCAGAAGCACACACAAACACAATTATGGGGTACACAAATATTTGCACTGTCTGCTTTCACCTGCTCGCTATTGTCACTGTCTGATGGAAGGTTGAATGCCTTTTTGTTCCATCCTCCTCCCATCCCAGTCCCAGTCTCAATCCCAATCCCAGTCGCAGTCGCAGTCGCAGGCACCACCTGTCAGCATTTTCGCTATCTGTGCTCACACTGAGCGGCACTCGTCATAAAATTTTATGTGGCAGGCAAAGTCGTAACACATGCGAGCTTAATGCGGGAAATGCAAAATAATAAAAATGAGACTCTGGCAAATGCAAAAACCAAATATTTAACAGCTGCCAACGGTATCTGACGCGAAATAATCTGATGAGTTTTCGCAACTCTCGAGCACCTTTTTAAATGCATTATCATTATGCACTTGTGTGCAGCAATAGAAGGAACACTTTTGAAACCGCGAATGCGTGCGCAGAGTATTACACCAAGGGAATAGTGGCAGTTGCAGGAACGTGCACGCGAGCTGCCAAAAAATGCAACCAAGCATGGAGCTGTCCTCGTCGTCCTCGTCGTCGTCGGTGTCGTCGGTGTCGGCGTCATGTAAACACAGGTGTGTGTAAGTGCTTGCGTGTGTGCAAAGTGGCGTGTAATATGAGCGGGCAAGCGGCACATACATACCTACATACCCAAATAAATACTCGTAGTATCCATGTGCATGTATGTGCGATTGTGTGAGGTGTTGACCTGGAAATTTTTATTAAATGCCATTTATTATATTCAAGAACTGCTGCTGGACGTCACTGCCATTTATTTCCGACAATTTCCTTATAAATCAATCCGACCAGTCATAAAGCTGAGAGTGTTCTTTAATGTTTGACTGTAACTAATAAATAATTTTTTGCCAAATTTGACGAACGTTTAATGGAAACCCTAGACAAATGAATCTGTTGAAGTGGAAAGAACATCGCACTGCGTTGACGTAAATAGTGTGGAGTCTTTTATCAAATATATTAATTTAAAGTTTTTTCAATTAACGGGTTAATAGGAGGTTTTTAAAATTAGCGCTCGAAGACATAACCCGCTTTCAGCAAATTAACCTTTAAAAGCTATTAAAATTCAAGTTTAGTGGCAATCTTATTAATTAATTTTATTATCGTTCTCTGACTAAGACGAATCAATCAAAGTTTGGTTACTATTATGCTTCCGGAGCTCCTTGTGATAGTACAGATCTGCGGATGGGCGGAAAGATATGTCTAGAATAATTTGTTTTTCATTTGGGTCAAGAGTACAAGTACTTGTATATACTATTTGTGGTGTCTAAAATGCCCCCTTTGGGTTGTTACAAAACAAAAAGGTTTCAACCAATTACAATTCATGTAATCGCATGTCAAAAAAACAAGCAAGTAAAGGCAATGCATTTAAACGTGAAAAGTTTAGAAAACCCATATTGAAATACTTCTGATAATATTCAGATGACTATGAAAAGACAGTTTCATATAATTTTGAAAGGATAGGCAAGTATTTTTTTTATTATGAATGTCACAATGGTACGAGTAATGTAACCGAGGAATATAATTCCATATTTTTTTGCTTGTTCTCGTAGCAAACATTTCATGAAAATAATGAAAAACCATTCACATTATAATCGAATTTTCTCACGCATTTTGTTGCCGAAAGTTTTATTTTACCCGTATTTGTGCTGTGCAAGCCATTTTTATGATATTCATATAAACATTGTGCGATGTTAACTTTAAGCCAATCCAATATCCATTAGCCTGCAGCAAACTTTTTAATTATTTGCCGAAGCTTTATGAGTCGCTTTCTCCTACCCCACCCAACCCCCCCTCCCTGCGTACTCGATCCCAGGGCATGCCATATAAATTGAAATAAAAAACTGTTGCGTAGAACTTTTTTATATTTGCTGTGAGTTTCCGCTTTTTGTGCGACAATTTTGTTTTGCCGTTGTTCGCTTGAAATTTATTTCTGTATTTTGTACACGCATGCTTCTCAACTTCAATAAAAAGTTTTAATTTTGCAATTGCAACAGCATCATAACTTGCAACATGAAGCAGCAGCAGCAGTAGCAGTAGCAAGTAACTCATACAAACGGCATTAATGCAGCTAAATATGTGCATGTGTGTGCGTGTGTGTGTGTGAGAGAGAGCTAGTGTAATAATGCATAAGCGCATATGAAGCGCACTTAACCTGAATTATGTGCCTGCCAAGCAGACACGCACTTCCCGTCACAAAAGCGGGCGGCAAACGGGTAAATAGAAACGCTCAAGACTTGAGCATGCAAATAATTGCAGCATTTGTACGAGCTTAACCCATTTCTGTCAGCGTTTTTTATCCTTTGTAGTTTATTCCTTCTTCGAAGCTGCACACATTTGACGCTCTCATAAGCCAGAGAGCCGTAATGCCAACGAGCAGGGAATTTAATTTGGAGCGCATACAAAGCATTGGACTTGCCTAGCCACTGCTGCGGCACGTAATGCCCAACATAAATCATAGCTGCATCTTCGCATGAGAATATATTTCCGGTATAAAATGGACGTTTCCGCATTTTCGGTTGCTTTCCTGCGCTGTACTGCGCTGTGCTGCGCTGCGCTGCGAGAGACCGGAGCGAGTGCAGAAAAGAACTCTGGAGCCCTTTAACAGCACATAACAGGAAGTCAGTTTGG